AATACACCTCTCCAAGTGTATGTTCTGTGTCTCACCTTGGGCTACTTCATCTTTGACTTGGGCTGGTGCATCTACTTCCAGTCTGAGGGTGCCCTGATGCTGGCTCACCACACACTGAGTATCTTGGGCATCATCATGACCCTGGTTCTTGGAGAGTCAGGCACAGAGGTCAATGCAGTCCTCTTTGGAAGTGAGATTACAAACCCCTTGCTACAGATACGCTGGTTTCTTCGTGAAACAGGCCACTACCACAGTTTCACTGGAGATGTGGTGGACTTCCTCTTTGTGGCTCTCTTCACTGGAGTGAGGATTGGCTTAGGAGCTCACCTCCTTTTCTGTGAAATGGTCTCACCCAAGCCCAGGTGGTTTATGAAGGTTGGGGGGATTGCCATGTATACTGTGTCCTGGTGTTTTATGTTAAGCATCTGGCGCTTTGCATGGAGGAAAAGCATCAAGAAGTACCATGCCTGGAGAAGCAGGCGGAGTGAGAAGCAGCAACTAAAACATAATGGACATCTCAAAACATACTAGTCAAGGTTTACTCCAGTTAATGGATTGGGTAGTTAGCCGTGGTAACCTGGCTGGAAAATATGGCTGTTACGGAATCTTGCTTATCTAACAAACTTAGGTTTTAAAAAAGGGCTAAATTTATTGGTCAGTTTTCAAATGGAACACATGCCAGTTATTAAAACACTAACTTCTACAGTGGTACAGTTGTCGAAAGTGAAACTAATCAGTGGTAGTTTGAATAAATCAAAACTGCATTCCTTCTAGTTTGTGTGACTCTGAGTCCTGTTGTCCCTGAGATGTTTGATTTCGGATGCATTCCCTCTTAGTGCTCTATTTTTTTCTTTTCTCTGGAAAAGATACCATTATCTGTGAACAAAATATTATGACAAGGCCTGTCTAGGAAGAAAAAAAAATTTTTAGTGTGATACTCCCTAATCTCACCTAGGAAAATCAAGAATGTAAGCTTAGAACAAAAAGTTTGGAATCAAGAATTCCTGGGTTCTTTTACAGAATTTTGTTATTCACACGCCCAATCACTTGGGCAGGTACCTTATTTATCTTTTGCCTCAGTGTAGATCCTGTTGGGAATGAAATACCCCATTGTGTATTTCAGAGAGACATCATGTAGCATCTCATTAATGGAGGTCTTTAATGTAGGGATTTTATGAAAAAGTGAAGCATTATTTATATCTTTGTTGTTTGTTATTCAGATCAGTGATTATTGATTAGCTTTGTTGGTGAGCAAGTGTGTAGAGCTATAGGAGTCAAGACTGAAGGTCAGTGGGAAGTGTCAGCTCATCCTAGGTCACTGGCATTGTTAACCTTATGAGGGTTCTTGAAAACAGATGTCACTGGCCATGCATGGTGGAGAGGTTGGAACCACATAGTCATAGGTGCTCTGGGCAAAGCAACTTTAAAGACATGTTAACAGTGGATTTTTTTTTTCTTGTCCTTTAAAATTATGTTTTATTAAAAAAACAAAAAACAAAAAACAAAACATGTTTACTGTAGCCTGAAGTACAAAATGATATGAAAATACATCTTATCCCATCTAGATATAACTTCTGTGGGTAATCCTCCCCAATGCATTTATTTTATTTATTTCTTACTGTTGTTCAATTACAGTTGTCTCACCTTTTTCCCCATTGCTCTCCCCTGCCTCGTCCTAACTCCCGACCAGCCACAGTCAATCCCCTGCCCTGCCATTGTCCGTGCCCCTGAGTCCCTCTGTTTGTGTTCCTTGGCTTGCCCCTTACCCCTCCTCTCTGGTCACTGTCAGTTTGTTCCTTGTTTCCATGCCTCTGGCTATGTTTTGCTTGGTTGTTTGCAGTGGATCTTTTAAAAATTACTGTCATTTGGTTAAAGAGTTTTGCTGGGCATGGAAATAATCAGACAGTAATATCTCCATCTCTTTTTTCTTATGATCAGTGTCCCTAAAATGCTGGTTAATTTCTTTCTAACAACATTGTGGTCAAAGTAGGATGCTGGGGAATGCTAATTTTAACAAAAGCCTAGGAAAAAGAGTGGCTTGGCGCATGAACTTTAAAAAGAAAAAAAAAAGAAGCTGGCTTTTAAATTTTGGCACAGCTCAACTTGTTCCATACCAGACAAACAAACAGGCTTAATTTGGTACTAGTTCTTTTCTCCTTACTCCTCAGAAGTAAAGAGACTGGGGATTGTAGATCTTTGTTTTTGGATACTCTACTATCAATGTATATAGGTCTCTTGAATTTTGAGAAACCTAAAGAATGATAAGGGAAAGAGAATCCCTCATTTCAGCTTTTCTTGATGATGTAGATAATAACAGTGAAGGAACCTCCCTGAAGAAAAATGTGAAATGAAGATGACCAGCAGTTAAGATGCTGAGTTTTCACATCACTGGTAAATGAGGGCTAATTAACAGATAAAAAGAACTCATTTGTATTTGGATTACTGTGTGATAATTAACACCGCTCAAGAGAATTTATATTTCAATAAGATTTATACTGTTTTATAAAAATAAACAACTTTTTATCAATCCAGAGTTTGCCTTTATATCTTTGTTGTGGTTTTGCCAAAAAGGTAAAAAAAAAAAAAGTCTTTAGCCTATAGAAATGTTGAACCATGTTTATACTTACCAATGAGTATTACCAATAAGAATACTTATTCTTACCTGCTACTTATCCACCATTCCTAATATTCTTTAGTTTTGGGATAGCAGTCTACATACCAGAAGCAGTTTGGCAAAAGAGAGAGGAAGAACTTAATTTCTTTCTTATTTTGCCCCATTTGGGCAGTTGCCTTGAAAATGATGTTGAGTGGGCTCCATGAAAACAGGGACTTTGGCTCTCTTCAAAATGAGTAGAACAGTGTTAGACACATAGTAGGTGCTCAGAAAGCATGCTGAAAGAATGGATGGGGGTGGGAATGTGACTTTCTGAGGGGATTATATAGATGGAGCCTTTAGAACAGTCTAGAGCTACCAACACCTATAAGGAAGCTTTCAGGATGTTTTTACCATTAGAGATTCGTAGGTGAAAACAGAGATTTTCATTATTAAAAAAAAATGGTTCTGGAATGAATAACAACGGGCTTAATTAAATTCTTTGCCTACAAGTTTCTGAAACTTTCCCACAGCAAAGGCCTACAACTAGAACTCTGTGTCTGTTTAACTTTGGAAAAATCTTGAAAGGAGTCTGCCAAGAGGTTTTGTATGCAAGGAAAAGAAGGTGAGTCAGGAAACTTTCCCAGTTTGTTTTATTACTGAAGCTCAAGTAGTGAGGCATTTTTGAAGGGAAGAAAGGAACTCATTTTTAAAATGCATGATTTGATGAGTCATTGGGTCCAATTAACTATACCTACACAAAATTATTAGGACAGGGCAAAAAATATATTTAGTATGAATAATAAAGCTACAAGTTTGGGGATAAGGTTTGCATTTTGGTTATTGTATACAGATGGCTGGAACCCTTTCCAGTTATATAAAGAAAATAAGCAATTAAAAGTGTTTTCAGGATAGAATTGTCATGCTAAAATAGACCAGCAGGTGGCAATGTGCCCTGGTCTGATCATCAGGACTTGGAACCTTAATTCCCTTCTATTCTTTCCCAAAATGAACATTACAAAATTTGCTAGCTGTGCCCCTAACTTAAAAACAAAAACAAAAAACCCCCCAAAACAAAAAGTAGTAAAGAGTCATCTTGGCCTCTGTTTATCTTTTCCTTTTATTTTTCTTTTTTTAAATTAACCCTTCTAACGTTAGCTTTAGTTAATACTCTATTCAGGGATCATGATCTTTTCATGAATTGTTGGGAATTGACTTTTAGAAACAGCATTGTTAAGAGATAATTGTTTCCCCTCTCCATATCCGCTAGATTTGCTTTGCCACTTTATTTCCAGAAAAAAAGGTTGAGGTCCCATATCCATCAGCACTGGTTTAAACTCTAAAGTCTGAAAAGATTTGGATAAAAGTATAGCCACTTCAGATGTCTGCAGGTGGAATTAAGGAACTATATTGCGTGTGGTACTTAACTTGTCACCTTACCTAATTATGCAATCACAAAACTAGATGGATATCTAAATCTAGCCGGTTGAGGGGGCGGAAAAAAACCCGAACAATTTTAGGTAACTCTTGAGAGACAGCTGTATTGCTATTTACTGGATATTCTTTATTTTCTACTTCCATTTCTTTCCACAGCAAGCTTGTTAGGTCGCGGTGGAAAGCACCATGCTTTCTTAATTTGGCAAATAATGCATTTCCTTTTGCCAAAGCAGTATTTTTACCAAGAAATCCTGACTCCAGTTCCCAAGTTTCTTTCTCGCCACCCCTACACACCATCGTCCTCCAACCCTCCTGCGCAGCCAGGGGCTGGGCACCTCTGTCAGGGTACAAGACCAGCAGGTGCTCCAGGTGGGTCGGCCAAGGCCAACTAACTTTGCTGGGATTTGCTTCAGAGTAGCGGATAGTGTCCAGGTACCTGGACTTGAGGTCGTCTCCATCGATCAAAAGCAGTCTATACTATCAGAGAGTGAGGAGAACAATTACATTCCCTTAATAAGGAATAAAAGTTTGTAGGACTAGAACCGCTCATCCTAAAATTCTCGGTATGGGGGGTAGTTCTCTTTGGCGGTCTCTGGTTAAGGCAAAACTCGAAAGTACAGGTTGTCGGCATTCCCAGGGGCTCGGGGCGCCGGTGGAGTTGATCGGGGGGCTCCCAGGCCCCACGATTCCCACCTCCCTCTGCCCAGACCCCGAAGACCCCGGGGGAGGGGTCCACGCTGAGAAGAGAGCAGAACAGCGACTCAACCGCGACCCACGGCGGCCTCGTAAGGACGGGTGGCGGCCCGTGTGGCGGAAGGATCCCGGGTGAGGCGCCTTCCTGAGGTCTGAGGGAAGCCAGCCAAAAAGTCGGCGGGGGGGAGGGGACGTGCTCGTTCGCGCTGGCTGCGGCTGAGGCAGAACCGGAACCGGAACCCGTCAGCGCACCAGCGATTGTCGCCCCTCACCCGCCCTGTGCCCCCAACCCCCACTGCCGCAGACGGCCTCCTCAGCCCGCGGCGCGAGCTCCCCCGAGGGTCTAGGGAGCTGGAGAGCCCGTGCTGCGAACCGAGCTACCGCCTCCGCCACGGCCAGAGCCGGCAGCCGGCGCTTCCAGGCCGGACCGGACGGGAACCTCCCGCCTCTCGCGGGAATCACCGCCTACCGGCTCGACTGGGAGGAGCCGTGGCCGCTACCTCTTCGGACTGCGGAAGAGCCCCGACTGCCTAAGGATGTTCAGTAGACTGCGGCGCTGAGAGGCCACATTCCTGTCACTTCTGGCTGCGGGGCTTCCTATCCCCGGAATCCCTGCTTGTCCCAGCGTACGAAGCCTGGTGGGACCGACGAGGAGGACAACAGGGGTCTCTCGGCCTGCGGACATGGATCCGCGCGAGCCTGGCGCGGGACGGCCCGAGACGCGGCGGAGGCTGCGGCCACGAGCGCCCGCCAGTCCCAGATAGAGGAGGCGAGAGAGGCCGGCTCTGCGGCGGCTGGGACTTGCAGGCCCTCGAGACCCCGGAGGAGGTGTGGACGCCCAACCGGGAGCTGATCCTGCTGTAGCTCTGGAGGGATTCCTGGGCCCACCCTGCGCCTCGCCGACTTCTTCCGTGACGAAGTTTTCTCCTTGAGCTTTCTCGAGGATTTATCTCTAGCTCTAGAACTTGCCTTCTGGCAGGGCCTCTCGGTTTGTTTTGGGAGGTAACTTGTTTTGCTTCAACCCACATCACCCATCCAGGACCCCTTTCAGTCGGACGTTCTAGATGACTGAATGGAGTTTTGAGTTGGACTTTTTTGCCCGTTCCGGAGTAGGGCCTGGTCCCAGAGCAGTGGGAGTAGGGTGGAGGTGTTACTGTAAAATGCAAATTGGATAAAAGAAGGATCTCTCGCCAAGGGCCCCAATGAGTGGCACGCAGTCTACTATCACGGACAGGTTTGTATGAACCTGCGCTTTCTCTCCCTGGATTTATCCCTACCCAGCAGAAGATTTAGTGATTGCCTTTGACTAGTGAAGTTGACAGGCAAAGGAGAAAGGGTCGTTCAGGGACTCTGCAATTAAGTCTAGGGTTGCTGCCAAGTTACTTAGTTGATTGAATTTGGAAATGTAGCTTTTTTTTCTGGAGAGAAACTTATCTCCAGATTCTCAGAGAAGGGGTAGCTAAAACTGTATGATGTGTCTGTAGCGTGCATTAGGATTCCGAACTTGCCTAGGAACCAGAGGAAGGTAATTTTGGGTGAAGGCAGTGCCAGACGTTGGCTGGGTATCGGTGCATCATCAGTTTTACTCCGGTCCTGTAGTTCCGTAGACGCTCGACGAATTTCTTACTTGTGAACTTCATTCTGACAACTGCTACATCATGATTTATGAACTTGATCTCTTTTAAGTATTGTCCTGAGCAGTGTTGATCTAATAATTTTCCAGAATGTTGAAGTTACTAGTAAATCACAGGTCCTTGCTGGGGGCAATATCATGGGGCTTGAAAAAAGTGAGATAAAATCATGGGGCTTGATTTTAATTATTGCATTTTTAGTATTTCATCTTCGAGAAACATTTGTGTTTAAGGGATACAAGAATCCTAAGGGAATTGTGTAGTACAAGCATGGCAGGTGGATTTGTTAAGCTCTGTGGGACCTTGATAGTACTTATCTACATTGCGTGGTGCGTTTGGTGAATTGAGCTAGATCATTTGGTTCAAGTGGAGTTCTCTTACTCTAAATAGTTATTCTTTCCAATATTATTTTAAGCGATGAAACCATATTAATTCTTTTACTGCAGTTTATTTCTCAATTTAATTATGACATTGTTTAACTGTACCAGATTTCAGCTGTTTTTTTAAATCACCCTTCAAACTCTTACATCATTTTTTAAATGATCAAATAACTCAATTAGGCGGCCAAAGAAAGCCATTTGATGAAAAGTGGAACAGTAGTGCTCCTGCAGAAAGTAGCTGAATTTCCTAATAGTTTTACCTAGATTGTAAGACTCATTTGTTAATTTTAAAAGGGCCAAATTCCACTATCATGTCATACAGCTACTCCAAAGACAGAACTTCCTCTTCCTGTTGATGGTTTCCAGTGTCAAGTGAATGTTTACCAGAAGAGATATCATTAAATATTTAAACTATATTTATTCCTTGTTGAATATTTTTAAAAATGTTTTAATTTTCAATGAAATGAAATAATTTTCAATTTTGGGGAGGGTTACACTTAACATGAGTAGCAACAATGCTTGTCTTGATTTCTTCAAGTTATCCTCATTCCTTTTCTTTTCAGGGTGTTTTGCTTCTGAGAAATTACTTTCATGGGTGTGTGGGTAATTGTTATCCTGGTTTTTTCAGTTCTTTCCCACTCTGTTGAACCGGTAGACAACAAGTCTTATAAGAAAGTAATGTAATATTGCCAGTTTTCATTGCAAAAATTGGGGTGTTTATTTTTGTAGAAACAGAATTTAGAGTCATCAACTCATTCCATTCACACGTACAAGCCATCAAGTAATGCCCTTTCTTCCTCTTTGCTTCTCAGAGATTTCCTTACTCTTTCCATTACCTTGGAAATAAAGTCTTGGGTTTTGTGCCCTTTTTATAAGTTAGAGGAGATATGAATATACAGTAAGCATGTAGTGAATAAATGCCTGTTATTTGCCAGGCACTATGCTAGGCCCAAAGGATTAAACGATGAGGATTCTAAGTGTAAGATAAATCTGCACATTGGTTTGGGTATTAATATTCTTGAATTGGTTCAAGTGCTGCCTGATTTTACATATTTTTTAAAAGAAAAAAAAAAACCTTTAAAAGTCACTTATTAAGCACTACTTAGTATGAATGCCAGTTCCTTAGAAATTTACTAGTAGTTATTTAATATGAATTATTCGTACATGATCATTACTTTTTCTTTAAACATATTACATAAATATCAAACATCCATTTGCTCTTTAGAAGAATAATTGTCCCTGATTTGAATACATGTTGGGGTAAAATAACTGGTTTAGTATTATTTCTGTGCCAAGCATGCCTTAGCTTCTTTTCAGCCCTGCCTACCTCATCCTCATTTCTCATCCTCAAACTGCAGTGTATTGGAGATATATTTTGCTGATTCTAGAGCTGTTGGCAAATTAACAGTGCCAAGGTAGCTTTTTAAAGATACTTTGAAGTTTGAAGTACTGTTATGTGGTCTGGCTTTGTTTTGTAGTGTGTGTAGACTCACCAGGCCAGCTGTCTGAATTAGAGTTCTTTCATTGTGGTGCTTCTGCAGACTCTTGTCTGTCCCTAGTTGAAATCAGACTAGCTGGTTTTGGGTGTGCTGTTCTGCAGTTTGTGGCAGGGGACACCAGGCTGAACAAGATAAGAAGGTTTTATTCTTGTATTAGGGACATGCTGGGCCTGGGATGGAATTCAGCTATGTTTGGGCTCTGAATAGTCACTTTGGATACTCAGAGCTAATATCCTGTTATTTTGCAGTTAAATTAACACGTTCATTTACTCTCTTTTCTTCCCTTTCATCTACTCCTCAAACCTCCCACCTCTGTTTTAAAGGCATAGTCGTCAATTAAAAACCCAAAGTATGATTATGGTAGCTACTTTTTTTATGTAGTATACCTGAACAGCTTAAAAAAAAAAAATAGAAAGAGAGAGGCAACTTCCCTTCTACTCTGTTGCTTTGTAGCGTCTCTGAGACCTGTAGGCTATAATTTTCAATTTATAGAATCATCACTTAAAAAGTGGTAGAAATATCTGATTGCTGCTTTTCAGTTTGCATTGCTTACTGCATTCAGTCCTAAAACATCTCTGTCTTCTGTCCCTGAGAATTTAGGGGTTCTCTGGCAATTGGAATTTCTTCTGACAAATAGAGAGGAAAGAATAATTTTTCATTACACTCTGTAAATGATTTCAGGCTAGATTCTAGAACAAATGACTTTTTAGGGACAGTACAGGTGGGATTTTGTCATAAGGGCTCTCCTTGAAATAAACGGACCTTTGTCTTGCCTTGAACTTACAGATTTTATTTTTTTGATTTATAAATAAACAAAGGTTTTCAATGTATTGGCATTTTCTTAGCACTGAGTTCCGCTTTAAGCTTAATTTACATAAACCTTAAAAGTGAGTATGGAAACTTGTGACTTTGTATGCATATACCCAGTATTGGCATTTTCATTCATGATACTTTTTCTTTATTTTTTTAAAAAAATTTATTTATTTATTTTCAGAGAGAGGGGAGGGAGGAAGAGAGAAATATTGATGTGTGAGAGAAACATAGATATCGGTTGCCTCTCACACACCCCGAACTGGAGACCTGGCCCCCACCCTGGTGTGTGCCCTGATCTGGAATTGAACTGGTGACCTTTAGGTTCGCAGGCTGGTGCTCAATCCACTGAGCCACACCAGCCAGGGCTCATGATACTTTTTCTACCAACATCGCCATATAATGCTTTTGATTAAAAAGCAATACAGAAAACTAGTGTAACTGCTATTTTGAAGGTTACTTGAGTCATCTGCAAGGTGAAATTATTTGTAATATTTACTTTTTAAGTCAGTCGTTTGATAAATACATAATTGAAGTTGGGTATCAAGATCCCAGTTATGTTATCTTTTCTTCTAAGAGTTCAGTACAAAACCCTGATTCGTATAGGTATACAATAGTACATTCACTTGTTCAGTTTTACATGAGAAACATGTACAGTCCAAAGTAAATTTAAAAAAAAATACAATGCCTTTTTTAAAAAAAATCAATGGCACATTTATTAGATGCTTATATTAATTCAGTGAGATGGCAAGAGAAGCCTTATTTGAATCAATATAAAGACATGTTAACCTGGCAATACCACTTAACACCTTTGTGGTTTCCAGTTAAAATGTATTATATAATACTGAGTTAACATGTAGGATTTTTTTAAAACTAAGTTCAAATTTCCAGTTTAAAGAATGAAATTTGTGGCAAACATTGATGGAACTCATAAATGGTGTGTTTCACATATTTTTCTGTGGAGCATGGTGATTCCAGGGAAAACAGTTGGGAAATCTTGATGTAAACATACATGGTTGCCTCTTATAAAAGCAATCTAGGAATAGATACGAGTTGCCTACCAAATATATTGGTCACAGAAGCAGCAGGCTATTTTAATGGTTTTTTTCAGAGGTAATTGGAGAAACTCTTTTATATCATAGTTGTCTGACATAGTTACTAGAGATGTTTCTTATGTAATTTCTTATCTCCTAAAAATTGGCCATGCCATATTTTTGGGAATAGGGAGTTTAACTTCATTTAGTCTCATTCTTTGAAAATTGGCTTTGATGATGTTTTAAAGTTTGATTTTAAGGCGTGCTCCTTTCCCTTTTAATAATTGAGAGTCTTCAAAATAGTGGCATTCAATGTAAATTATAAAATCAGCCAAATTATAAATACTTTGTTCCTTATTGAGTAAAATACCCTCATATATATGTACTGATATCCTGTAATTCTATAGCATTTACAATGTTTTCAACTCAGCATAGGGCAGATCACCAATTATACTTTAGGCAACTCAAAGTTTAAGTCAAGATAATAAAACTGGAAAGGACAGACCCAAGATTTTTTTGGCTCTCAAGTCCCCTGTTTTTTCACTTTAAATTAGTCTTACTATATACATTGTTTTTTCTTTCCTGCTTTCCTTTAATAACTTTCCAATCTGACCATGTCTGAGTGGGATTTTGTCTGTTAGAGGATGCTTTTTAGCACCTTATCCATTTTAATTTTAAGTTATCTCTAGAGCTACTCATCACTTCCTCAGGAGACTGTACAGCAGCCTGATAGATCTTGTAATCAGGAAGCTTTTCTTGATCTTTAGCTCAAAGTTTTGTGTTGTCGCTTGTATAAAAGTGCTGTACCAGGCTAAATAGTATTCTCCTCCCGTTTCTGTTTATATGACTCTAAATGATTCAGACAGTTATCTGCCATCTC